ATCGTCGTGAAGCTGAAGCTCAGTGTGGATGGAGCCATTAGATGCGGTGCTGGATGGGGAGCTTGAGCCACCCTCTTGAACTGTGTGGACCGATCCTTCTTGGTACTCCTCAATCTGGACCATATTGACGAAGTTGCGTGGTTTTGGCCGAGATCGTTGCATATTGCCCGCATAGATGGAAGCAGAGTTTCGTAGGCCGTAGGGCTAAGCCTGGTAGTTCTCCATTGAGGTTTCATACTCGGAAAGCCGGAGACCCGTCGTAGGGGCTGGCCAGCGACGAACGGAGCGCCCTTCAGGAGTAGATGTGACCACGAGATCCGTACTGAGTCGTGCAGGACGACTGGCCCAAGCTGGTCGGGTAGATCTGTTGTGGGTAGAGGTTACCTGCTCATTAGGTTGACTTTGAATCGAACTTACCAGAGCTAGGGTTTCGGCAAGTTTAGTACTGACCTGATCGATGGAGTCGAGCAGGTCGGTGTTGTCGATCTGCCTCCCTTTGTAGTGAGAAAGCGGACGACGGGTTATCGGCGTGGCTGAAGATGATGCTGGCGTGGCCGGAGCCAGATCCACCGTGGTCAGAGCCGTAGCTGATGCAGATGAAGCAGTGGTCGATGTAGATTGAATCCGCGCCTCCTCCGTGGTCATGGCGATGAAGTCGTTAGAGCCGGTGGTCTAGGTGATCTGGCCGATGGTGAACGTGAGGCCGTTAGGCGTAGCCATGGAACCGGGGATGATGATCATCTTGTTCGTCTAGAGAGCAGTACACACACCCCTACCAGGCGCGCCACTGTTGACAAAATATGGTCGGCAGTCTACCTAGGGGTATGCCCAAGGTAGTAGATTATCGACAGACAGATGCGCAAGCTACAAACAAGATGGTGACGCAAGACAGACACGAGGTTTTATCCAGGTTTGGCCGCCGGGATGGCGTAATACCTACGTCCTGCGTCTGATTGTATTGCTATATGTCAATGAGAGATGTTTTTTAGCGGGGTCCCCTGCCCGCCTTATATAATCTGGGGGGTAGGGTTACAGATCTGGAAACTAATCCTAACCAGTTACAATTGCCATAGGTGGCCGAATAAGGATTCCTATTCTAACCGACCAGGATCTTGCTTGATCTCCAAATTTGCCTTGATTCCTTGCGTGGGACTCCGAACAGGTTGGCCGGGCCACGCGTCATCTTCTTGTGGGCCAGACCCCCTGGTCCGGGCCAGCCCAAGCCTAGCCGTAAGGGTATAGGGGTTAATACCCCCACAATTTTGAATAGCCGATAATTTTTCATCTGTGATATCTTGCCTTATATCACTTATAACTGATGACTTTATTCTCATGAAAACATTGAGACTTCAGCCATTGCAAAATTAGTTGCATAATGTTACCCAATTAGGATCGGAGAAAACATCCTGTGGACTACTTGCGTGTGATAAACTGCTTGTCACTACTAGCTGTTTAATTGGTCTATAGAAAATTTGTTACCGCTAATATCAAGTTAATTTCGTACTGCTTTGGCTATTCATTAGAATGTTGGTTAGTACTAGTTGTTAGTTACTGTTTTAGCAAGCTGTACTTGAAGTACAATTCTGCTTTGGTGAATTATCTGATTGCAGCCTTATGCCCAAAAATATGCACGAATCGTACTGGTACTTTTCTTGTAGGTCATTTACCAGCTTGCAACTAGACCATTCTGAACTTGTTATGTTCCTACAAGTATTGGTTTACTATATATATGCAACAAACATGAATATAACTCTTGTTTCCATCTTTCATGGTTCATCTGCCATTCTAAATTTCTTATGTCCCAACAAGTATTGAGTGGTGATGGTTTGATATTTTTCGTTGGAAATCTGAGCATTAGTCACTACTCATTTCTTTTTTATATAGAGGGCAACTGGAGATGGATCCTCTCAAGTTTTAGCAAACCTGTACCACAAGTCATTTGGGCTGCAACCAGCATGTTTGATCAGCATGTGCGCTGTGGAGCAAAAGTATTTTTGTAGCAACCATCAAGCAACAAGATTATTATAGAAATTATCTGGTTTCTGCCATCTAGAATGTAGCCTATGTTGGTTGTGCAACAAACACTCCATTTTGCTAAGTCAGTGCCTATGCTATGTAGGGCCTGGTGCAAGCGGTAGAGTCTTACCGCCTGTGACCGGAAGGTCCAGGGTTTGAGTCGCAGTCTCCTCGCCTTGCACAGGCGAGGGTAAGGCTTGCCACTAACACCCTTCCCCAGACCCCGCACAGAGCGGGAGCTCTCTGCCCTGGGTACGCCCCTTTTAGTGCCTATGCTATGTGCTAGTACGAAAGGCTGTTTAGGAAGCAGTAGCTTCATGTTCCTTGGTCTACTTTATGACTTAGGGATATAGTAGCATCATACTGAGATGTATGACTTTTCTATCAACTTTAGTTGTCTGCTGACTTCGTGTTGCAGTTAAGGCAGTTGCTTCATGTATGACTTAGGTTGGCACATGTTGCCAAATGCATGATTGTGTGCACAAACCTTATGACGTGAAAAGTATTATTTTCTGTTGAGATGTGCATTCATGTAATTCTTTTGATGTTTGATTTTGCTGAATGACTTACACTCATATGGCGTACAAGACAAATTAGATGTAATAAATATTGACCTCCATGTGATATGTATGTGTTTGTGTACCTTCATGTGACGTGGACACTATATTAAGCTTGAATCTGGGTTTGATATGTGATAAATATTCTCATCGTATTTATTTTGGTATATTTATGGTGTCCTGTTGAACAATCTATCGCTATAAACACAAGGTATATGCTTGATAACAGAGCATCTGTCGCTAAAAACTAGCAATGGACTATCTGTCGCTATAAATATTCAGGGCAGCAGACTGCCTATCGCTAAAAGTACTGTCTGACGCTAAAGATTTTTAGCGACAGGACTTACACCGTCTGTAGAAGTCTGTCGCTATAACTTTTTAGCGTTAGATTGTCTTTCGCTGTAGCCGCTTTTAGTGTCAGACCATCCATCGCTAATCTTGGTGTTGTGGTGTAGTGCTAGTTTATAGTAAATAATATTATCATTTACGTCTCTAAATAAATTTATTATGAAAATAAAATATTTTTTTGTGAATGATACTTATTTAACTAATATAATGATACTTATTATATATCATGATTGTTAGTACTTTTTATATAAATTTAGTCAAAATTTAAACTATTTGACTTCTCAAAAAACGAGAATTGCATTCTTTTGTGGACGGAAGTAGTAGTTTCTTCAGCATGCTAAATTTTCTTGTTGTTAAATGTAACAGAATTTATGGCGATTGACTATTTTGGTAAATCAGCTAGTGCATGACTAAATAGATATAACTGGAAGATTAAATGGGGGTTTGTTTTGTACAGAAGCCTTATATATTTATTTATTTATTATAATTATTGGACTAAAATTTTGAATACACCATGCTGAAACAATAAATGTTATTGGGTTGTATTCCTGATTGGTCACTATTGGATCAGCTTGTTTAATTTAATTTAATATATGCTCAAATTAGTAGTTGTAGCTTCATGTACTCGAATTCCCTGTGCTCTTGCTGCACTTGTAGCTGCTTGCTTCTGTCAACTAAAACAACATGTTACTAGTACAGTTGTACACAAGAACTAATTTTTGTTAACACTATGATAGCTAGTGCAGTACCACTTTGATAATCTTGTAACTCTTCCGGAAACTCTACTAGGAAATTACATCTGAATCTCATTTAGAAATATATGCTATTGCAACTTACCCACCACCGCTGTACCTTGTAGGAATCATCTTGTTTGTGCATCAGCAACATTGACTAATAAAGTCTAAAGGTGTTGCAGAATCTTCTCAAAGGCGATCTTCTCAAGGTGTTGTGTAGGATCTTCCCAAAGATGCTAGTAGCAAGCAAGTAGCAAACTTGTTGACATGAAGCCAACTGGAGTATTAATGGTTATGTATTTTGAGCTTTTGTTTGATGGATGTATTTTGAGCTTTTCCCCAATATTTGATGGCTTCCATAGACAACACATGCTAGTTTGCTTTTGTTCATACCCTATATATATGCCGAAACAAGGATAGCTTGATGTTAAGTGACATGTTTACATATGTGTACTTGTTTGATAAATGAATGAGTATGGCTAATATTATTATATGTGTATGTCATCCTAAAACTATGTACATAATTTCAATATCACATTTGGTATAATTGAGCCTGATGGACTGTTAGTCTCTAAAAGGTCTTTATACCATTGAACTATTGGTCGCCAAAAGTTCTATCGAGTTATTGGTCGGTATAAGTAGTGCCATCAAACCGTCATTCAGTAAAGATCAGGTCCATCGCTATATACTTATAAATAACGAGGCCTTTTATAGCGACCACAGGCGTCAGTGGGTATAACGTTTTAGCGACCAATTCCGTTGCTGTACATAGACACTTTTAGCGACTCCAATGCAACCGCTGCTTTAGGCCAGTGATGTAGTGATCCTTTTAAAGATCTGATTGCTGCTGCATATATAACTTGGGTATCACATTCTAACATAATTAACATAGAAGAAAACATAGTCAAGATTGCAAATCAGATTAGATCAACAAAAAAAGGAAAATTATTTTAGTATTCCCAAATGTTTGCAAGGATTAATAAGAACATACATTTCATCACACTTTCGCCATTAAATAGAGTTTCAATATATCGAAGAATAAAGACAAGCCGAGGAAATGTTGATCTAAAATAACAGTGAGTACATCGGCAACAAGAGATTGTGCGTAAGACATATAGCGACCGCTGCTGAATACGTACGTAGTATGAATGTACGGAAAGAGGTCTAATAACTAGCTAGCTTGACGGATGGGGCCACACGGAGCAGGGCAGCGCCACGTCCATGGCGACGGCGGCAAGGACAGCGGAGAGGCTCGCGGCCAAGAAGATGATCTTGGACCTGTGCACCTGCTCGCAGAAGTTGCCGGCGGCGTTGGCGCACGCGCTGATCTGCGGGCCGTAGGCCATCACCGCACCGCCGCGAACACCGCGCCGGTGGCCGAGCAGAGCAGCATCTGCACAGCGACGTCGACGACAACCAGGACGACACGGGGAATCATGGGCGCATCCTCGCCGTCGTCGCCCTTGCCGACCTGCACGTAGATCGCGGCTACCTCCAGGATCGTCACTGCGATGTTGGACCCTACAAGGTATCTGCAACCGGTGAAGAGGACATAAATTAACAAAAACTACTCCAAGAACGCATGAATATGTATAGGTTGTTAGACCTAAAGCAGAGGATCTCTAGGCAAAATCTAGCGAGTTCTCTTGTAAATGGATAATATGTCCTAGACATGAACTAGAATAGAGAATAGAGGAGTAGTGCTGGTTACCGACCATCGTAGGCCTTCGATCCAGAGGCGCCTGCCATGGGCGTTGTGTCGGTGTCTGCGCGAGGACAGCGACGGTCGGTGAAGATGGTGTCGGTGATGGGCAGTGGCGACCGGCGGTGAAGACAGGTGGCGGCGCAGTGCAGTGGTGGCGGTGACGCAGTCCGGTGGCGGCGCTTGGTGACTTCCCGTCACTGGATGTGCACCCTCTAGATCGGATTAGAGATTTTGGTGGGGAGCTCGTCTCAGGCGAACCTCGTACTCAGAACCGCCGGTCCCACCTCTATTTATTGCGCAGTGTGATAGGGGCCTCCATCCATAGTGGGCTGGGCATCCCCGATCAGGGCGTGGATCAAAGGCCCAACTGGGCCGTTGGACCCAGTTTGGGATTAGAGATTAATCAAACAATCTCTCCCTTGATCTCCTACCATCTTTTAATTTTATATCATTTACTTTTGTTCATTCCATTATAGATTAGCATATGGAGCATGTTTTATTGTCACGATCAATTGCCGATAGATTTAACAGCTACAATACACCACTCTATTCTAAAATAGATACTTAACTTTGTGCCTTCTTTTGTCTAGGAATTATAGGTTTTCCCTTAAGCCCATGCCGGCTACATGTTCTCTAAACATGTTAGGTGATAAGCCTTTTATAAGCGGATCCACGAGCATCTTTTCGGTACTTATATGCTCAAGACTTATGACATGATCCTGGACTTTATTTTTCACAATATAATACTTTATGTCAATGTGTTTGGTAGCACCACTTGACTTATTGTTGTGAGCATACTGTACTACCATATTATTATCGCAGTATAACTTAAGTGGTCTATAGATGTCGTCAACCACCTTCAAACCGGGTATGAACTTCTTTAGCCAGTTCACCTGCCCCGTTGCCTCATAACACGCTACAAACTCGGCATACATTATGGACGATGTAGTGATGATTTGCTTTGAGCTTTTCCATGAAATAGCTTCCCCTACGAGAGTGAATACATATCCAGATGTAGATTTTCTATCATCTCCCACATAATTTGAATCTAAATATCCCACTATATGGAGTGAATCTAATCTTCTATACGTCATCATGAGGCTTTTCGTTCCTAGCAAATAACGCAAGACTTTCTTTACTAATTTTTAGTGTTCTGTTCCAGAATTGCTCTATAATCTGCCAAGTAACCTAGTAACAAATGCCAAGTCAGGGCGCATACATACTTGAGCATATTGCAAGCTTCCAACAGCTGAAGCATATGGAACCGTTTTCATTTGATCGATCTCATATTGATTCCTGGGGCATTGAAAATCCCCATATCTATCGCCCTTGACTATAGGAGTAGGTGAGGGACTACATTTGTGCATACTAAATTTCTTTAAGATCCTTTCTATGTATGCCTTTTGTGATAATCCTAATACCCCTTTACTTCTATCTCGGTGAATCTCGATCCCTAGAACTAACGAAGCTTCACCAAGATATTTCATATCAAATTTATGGACAAAAACTTCTTTGTCTTCAGTAGTAGACTGACATCACTAGTAGCAAGTAAGATATCGTCCACATATAGGACAAGGAAGATAAACTTCCCATTCTTAAACTTTGCATAAACACAATTGTCCTCAACATTATCTTTAAACCCAAAATTCCTTATTGTCTGATCAAACTTCAAGTACCACTATGTTGAAATTTGTTTTAATCCATAAATGGATTTCTTTAGGTGGCATCCCATTCGTTCTTTTTCTTCCATGACAAAACCTTTTGGTTGTGCCATGTAAACATTTTCCTCCAAGTCCTCGTTGAGAAATGTCGTCTTTACATCCATCTGATGTAATTCTAAATCGTAATGTGCCACTAATGCCATTATAATTCTGAAGGAATCCTTACATGAGACTGGAGAAAAGGTCACATTGTAATCAATCCCTTCTCTTTGTGTAAAGCCTTTTGCCACAAGTCTCGCTTTATATCTCTCTATATTCCCTTGAGAGTCAAGTTTTATTTTGTAGACCCATTTACAGCCTACTATTTTGGCTTCTTTAGGAATTATTTCCAAGTCCCAAACTTCATTGGCATTCATGGATTTCATTTCATCTTCCATAGCCTCAAGCCACTTTGATGAATGATCACTTCTCATGGCTTCTTCAAATGAGGTGGGATCATCATCCATTTGAAATTCCTCAGTGTTGTATACTTCATAGTCAGCAGGAATAGCTATTTTCTAACTTTTTGAGACCTTTTAGGGGCCTTCACATTTGGCATATCTTCTGTTTGAGGCTGTTATTGCTCCCCCTCATGTGTGGCAATAGGTTCTATAGGATCCTGAAGAACAGGTTCCTCATCGTCATTCATTGTTGCCACAGGTGGAATAACAACAGGTGCTGACACCACAGTATCTTGTACTATCGGTGTAGCGACAGCAGGTAGTGAGAAAAATAGCTCATGAATTATCGGAGTGGGCGCATACACCCGCTTCTCTTCAAGGTCAATTTCTCGAGCTACCATGCTCCCTCTCATCATTTCATCCTCTAGGAAGACAGCGTGTCTTGTTTCCACAAACTTTGTATGTCTGTCTGGACAGTAGAAACGAAAACCTTTTGACTTTTCTGGGTAGCCAATGAAATGGCAACTTACTATTTTGGGATCTAGTTTCCCAATGTTTGGGTTAAATACTTTAACCTCAGCAGGACTCCCCCACACACGTAAGTGGTTTAGTGAGGGTACTCTTCCTGTCCACAACTCATATGGTGTTTTTGGCACCGACTTACTTGGTACTCTATTAAGAATATGAATGGTGGTTTTTAACACCTCCATCCACAGGCTCAACGGTAAGGTGGAGTAATTTATCCTACTACGCACACCATATCCATCATGGTACGATTGTGTCTTTTCAGCTACTCCATTCTGCTGAGGTTCGCCCGGTGTAGAATATTGGGCTACTATGCTATTCTCATGTAAGAACCTTGCAAAAGGTTTAGGAACTTGGCCATATGGGGTATGCCGACCGTAGTACTCCCCCTCATGGTTGGACCTAACTATCTTAATCTTTAAATTGTGTTGGTTTTCAACTTTTGCCTTAAATATCTTAAATTTATCCAATGCTTCTGTTCTTTCTTTGATTGGATAAATGTAGCCATAACGGGAGTAATCATCTGTGAATGTTATGAATGAATCATAACCATCCACACTCTTTATAGAAAATAAACCACAGATGTCTATGTGAATAATCTGTAAAATTCATGCGTTTCGTTTGGCATCTTTCTTAATTTTCTTTACATACTTTCCTTTTATGCATTCTCTGCATTGTTCTAAATCTGAGAACTCTAATGAAGGAAGAATATCATTCTTAACTAGTCTTTCTATTCTCCCCCTCAAAATATGGCCTAAACGACAGTGCCATAATTTCAACGACGCATCATGAGCTCTCTTTTGTTTTCTGTTTACATCCACAGACGAGGATACATTCTCATTGTCACACGCAACGTTCCCATCATCGCATACAACATTCACATCATCATGTAGTGATAACAAATAAAGTTCATTTTGTAATATAGCAAGACCAACACATGCATTATTAAATGTTATCTTACATTTGCTATTTCCAAAATGGCAATCATATCCATCATTGTCCAAGCATGAAACACTAATCAAGTTTCTCTGTAAAGAGGGAACATAAAGTACATCTCTAAGTAAAAGTCTGAAGCCATCAGCAAGCTCTAGAGAAAGATCGCCAACGGCTTCAACATCTGCTCGGACTCCATTTGCAACTTTAATGTGTCTTTCTCGTCTTTGCGTAGTCCTCGTCGAATAGAATCCCTATAAAGAATTAGCAACATGAATAGTTGCACCTGAGTCAATCCACCAAATAGATTTTGAATACTGTACATATAGGGATTCATTTATGAACGTAATAATGTTCTCACCTTTCTTTGCCATGATCATCTTTAAGTAATCGGGACAATCTTTCTTATAATGTCCTATCTGTAACACCTCGGTGTTAAGCATGCATTAACATTCTACAAATCATGAACATAATGCATCATCAAGCAACATAATCATACATGCATAACCATGTTAAATAATAACTGAAACAATGCTTTGAAACATATGAAACATGCTCGGGAAACATGTATGTTGCATAGTTTTGTTTTAATAGATTGGATGCTATGTTTGTTTTGCCATGTGTGAACCTTGATTGATCACTTAGACCACTTAGAAGTAATTAGGATGCAATTTGGAGCAAGGTGTATATTCAAAGTTTTCTCAAATTTTGCTTTTAAAAATAATCTTCTAAAATAGGGTTTTTGATTTAAATTAACTTTAAATCTATTGTTCAAAATCTAATTGGATTTTGGCCTTACTCTTTTTGGTAAAGTCGTAGAGTACATTTTTTTGAACAACTTTTATTTTTACCCCAAATCCTAAAAATAGTTTTTGGTTGCTCAAATTTGTGATTCAAATCAGTTGGGAATAGAAAATAAATTGAAAAATTCGATTTGCTTCTTCTTCACCACCCACTGCTCGTGTCCAAATAGCATTCACCGGCCCAGAAGACGCCGTGCCGCCTCCTGACTCTTTATTCGCCGTGCTCGCCTTCCTCGCTGACGGCCGTCACACTCTAGAATTGACCCACAATTGCGGTGCTCAATCGTGTTCTTCAAGAGCCGACCAGACGCATACTCCACCCCACGCCTCTCACTTGCTGCCTTGTCCCCGCTTCTCTTTGCTCAAGGTTATATGAGATCTTTTGGCCGATACAAAATCCTCTCTCACCGGAGTTGCCCCAAGCGGCATCGCTCCATCTAGCCCTGAGCTCCTCCACCTCGTGCA